TATAAGATATTGTTAAAATTGAATATCATAAAAATATATGCAAGAGTTGTTAGTGTATACATAACTCTTATATAAGTTAGTATTTTTTAGGATATTGTTTTAAACTCTCTCAGAAAGTACCACATTAATAAGATAAAAAGAAAGTTTTATGTGTGATGTAATTAAAATCGTATATTTACAGTAGGCGTGCCCAATATTTTCTGTGAATAAACGCTTCCACCTTTCCATTATCTCGTTGAGTAAGATAGAGAGAAAACAAAAACAATGTTAAAGATATCTCATGAGATAATCTATTCTTTTTTGTTTTCACTATGTCTTGCTCAATGAGACGATAAATAAATGAAAGCATTTAATTTTGCGAGTAAAATATTGAACAGATCTGATTTATATATATTATTTACAGTTTTCGCAATTTAATTAATTTTTGTCTATAAACATTTTTTTCTCTAAATTTGCGCTCACATGATGAAGATTAATTTATAAAAAAATGTTATTGCAAATCTTTGCTTACTACACAATCTAAAATGCACTGGATATTTAAACATTGAAGTGAGCGTGAAAGAAACTTTACCTGAGCTCTCTGATTTGCTGTTCACGTGCTCTTGCTAGTGCAATGAGTGTTTCGTATCGAGCTATTAGTGTTGTTACCTCGCTACTTTTAGCAGTTCCTAAACTCAATTTGTCGTCTTCCATGAGCAGATTATGAAGATGGCGTACCAGTTCTATCGAGGACTGGCAACTTCCGATTAGTTTAGCCTGTAATAATCCCGTTTGATATTTTATAATAAAATAACAAAAACTACACTTAACTGAAAATAAAAATCTTACGATAGTTTTAGCAGCCGCGTTGAGCCCAGGACCGGAAACGGGATCAGGTGTTACCGTTGCTTCCAAAGCATTTAGGGCGTTGTTGCATTCGTTCAAGGCAGTTTCCAATTCCATCAAATACGCGTCACATGAAGTCATCCTGATGAGTCTTGGTAGGGTGTCTACTTGAACCGCGGTATCTCGCTCAAATTTCAAAGTTTCTACCTGTACGGCCTCGTCGACCTCCGATCTTTCTTGCGTTTCCAGTTCCGCTTTCAGCGCGATTACTCGTGACTTGATATCCCGCCATAGAAGTTGATATTCGTCTACCAGTTCCTGAATCGCGGCCACGTCGTCAGGATTGCTCTCCTGCATAACTCGCAATGCTAATTCGTCTGCTTTGCGCAGCGTAACATTTTGAGTATCGAGCTCTTCCTCGATTTCACTCAACTGTTGACGCCTTCGTCGCAACGATGCTCTTTGCTCAGGTGTAGCGAGGTGTTGCATTTGCGTTAGGCGAACATCCACCTGCGTCAGGCCCATTACTGCAGTGCCATGTGTGGATACGAACTCGCGGTAAGTCTTTTGTTCCCGTTGAATGCTCGAGATAATGGCGTTGATTCTTGTCTCCAGAACCAACCACCTGTCAATGATCTTCCGTGTCTCGGCCGTAAGAGATCTAAAATTGTCGGTATCCAATCCGGACTTGGCCAGACGTCCAAATATCTGTTCTAGGATTTTCAAGGCCTTCTGATGAGCTTCGATATCTTTCGCGATCGATTTAGCTTTCTCAGTTATTTTTCTTGATTCTTCTTTCGAGATCTCTGTAAGATCGTTCTCCAACTTCAACAGAGATTTCTCTGTTTTTACTAGCCATGGTTCATGCTCGCATCTGATTTTTTCCAACTCTTGCAACAGCTTCCAAATCATCATGATTTTTCGCTTGCGTTCGGTAGATTTAATGCACACAGCTTTCCATCGTTTCTCTAGACTTTCCATACCGTTTTTTATCGCGTCCATGTTAAAAGAAGCTTTCCACGTGTCGCAATCGTTTAACAGGATTTCACATAAATTTAGCACCTCGCCGATATTACCGCTTTCAGCCTCAATAGTGATCTTGAGATGGTCGTGATCTTCGAGCTTTTTATCGATGTTTTTCTGTATGAGTTTCTCAATAATGATAGCTTCCGATAGCTGACCTTCGATGCCGGTCAGCCAAGTTCGTAAATCAGCTATCCTCTTGAGCAATGAGTTCATAGTTTGAATTAGATCGATCAGCTTGTTAGCTCTTGCTTTATCGCCGGCCATTAGACGATTCCACTTTTCGTTGACTTCGTCTAAGGATTGCTGGAGTTTTGCTTTCTCTGTCTCTTCGGCGACTTCTATTAGCTCTTGCCCGGTATTCTGTAACCACTCGAGTTCGCGCTGTTTCAAACTCATCTCCGTCTGTAGTTCGCACTCAAGCCGCTTCAGTGCCTCTTCAGGTTCGTCCAATGACATCGTGTCATGATTCTGCGTTCTGGTCACTGCATCTTCTATCCACGACAACAGTTTATTTAATCTATTTTCCCATCGACCATGAAGAGCACAACGTTCTCCGAGTCTATATGATAATAAAGCTAATTGGTATTCAAGATCGCCATGTTGTTGCGTCAGAAGCGCGTCTTGTTGATTTAATGTCTTCATGTCGCTCGGGCTCAAACACTCTCTCAATTGTTCCGTGATTACACCAAGAGATTCCAAATTGCGTTGCGCGTTAGCTAGGCGAGTTCTCAAATGTTCAAGCGAGTCGAGTTGTTCTTTCGTCCTGGATAGACTTGTTGGTCCCGCATGGAAGCCCGCGCTTAATGTTTGGCCAATTTCCTGGAAGGTCGTGACGATCATCTCAGATTGCTTGACGTGTTCTTCATGCAATTTCTGCACTCGTTGAACAAAATCCCTCCAGGTTTCCAAACCGGCTCGCAAATTTGCGATCCGTTGTACGTTTGCAGCGTGTTCCATGCGTATCGAGACGGCCAGCGCCTCGTCGCAATTAGTTAGGAGGTATTCCTGTTGTTCCTGAAGAGACTCTGTCTGAGTCTCGCCAACTGGCATCTTGTCCAACAGCGCCTGAATTCTTTGCAGAATCTTTTCAAGCCTTCTCAGGTGGATGAACTGTAGGTGCATGCGTTGCCGTTCTCTTTCAACTTCCTTTAACCACGTCAACAATTTCCTTTGATCTAATTTATATCTATCCCAGGCCGATATTCTGTCACGCACTGTCGCATGTCGCTCCAATATTCTCGCCAATGTCTCATTGTGAAGATTTGTTAAGGCATTGAATTGCTCGGTAACCGATCGATCACGATCTTCCTCTTGTCGCACCGTTAAAATGAGATTCTGCTGCTCAGGCAACAGCTTTCGATGAACCTCGCAGAGATTCCGATGCTCCGATAAACTGTTGTAATCACCTGGCATACCGCTCGACAGAAAATCTTGCACATGCGTCAAATATTCCTCCCAAAGCTTTAACGCAGCAATCACGTCTTGCGAGCGGATTAATCGTGTCGACAAACGGTGATACTGCTGGAAGGTTTCTTGAAATACGCGTTGCCATAACTGGACCACCTCAACCACCGACGGTTCTTGCACGGAAACATCTAACGCGCGATCCTTGATGGATTGAAGCTGCGGCTCGGTTCGGGTTAACGCGAGTAGGTGATTTCGTAATACCGTCAGTTGTTCGTTAGACTCGCCTTGACCCACCGCTGTCAGACTCTGAAAAATAGACGAACAAGCTCTTCTGATTATGATCGCTTATTTGACGGGCTCTTTAAAAAGTGGACAGGGAAATAGAAAAAAAATTTATCAGTTAATTTGGCGCGCGTAAATGGTTCCGTGAATTCTCGACACGTCGATCGATGCACTGATTAAGTATCTTACTAAGCTTCGAAGGAAACGTGATTTAACAACGTAGCAACGTTGTTATATTCTCCTAGCAAGTAGGATCGTATTGAATCGCCTTTATCTGTCGATCGACGTTGACGATGCACGCCGTAAATTCCGTCGGGAAACGGAACTCGGCGCGGCGCCGCTCTCAAGTTCGAAAGTTTCGGCCGACGCTGTGTGCACGAGTGTTACAGCCATTCAGCTGTTGCGGATTTCGTGACTGATGTAATTGCCACCACGGGTTAAGCCCTTCGGCCTTGACATAACAAATTGTTTCGGAACTACCGCGATTAAAATATAAACGCGCGTGCGAAGCGATGATCGAGGTTGTGCCAAGCACCAATGGTGCGCCGCTTCAACAACTGATGGACGCATTAGTACGTCAGACTAAAGCGACCTAACGCCGCGGCTCTAACTATCACCTTCCAAGCGCAGGGGAACGTGTACATCGATCCTTGAAAAATGTTTTAACTGTGAGAAATTCGAGGAAGGTCTCGTTCTTCAAGGTCCTGAAGCCGTTTCGCACGTACGTGCCAGGATTAATCAGCACATCGGACACACACACTCGAGAAAAATATGTGAAACTATCATCATGTATATGCTTATAATTCTAGTTCGACATGAAACTGAAAATTGCAGTATCTTACTTACACTTGTTATAATTTATTGTAGTAAAATTATTTTTCTTTTTTTTTTTTATATATTAGGGGGATAGAGAAAATAGTTCCTTAAATTCTATGGTTTCTTTTAAATCTTTATGAGATAATTATTTTGACACTCATAATGCTCGAGTATTCGCGTTAAAACGAATGAAAGATGCTTGACTGGTATGCAGTTAGGCAGAAACAGATGCAGCATGAACGGAGGCATGTACCTGTTGGACCGAATCCAGGAAATTTTTCGTCTGGCATAGATCACCGCGGGCAAGTTCCTGGTTGAGGACACGGGCATCCACCGTGTCCGCGAGGGTCGACAAGGTTTCTCGAACATCTTCGAGTCGTTGACCTAGCGCTTCAACTTCGCAGTGCAGCGGTCCACCAGCGTCCAAACCCACATCCGATGCGATCTGTGCCACCAGACCGCGTAGTTCCGCTAGTCTTTCTTTGTGCTCCGCCAGTGTCTCCTCGCAAACCTAAAACAAGTTTAAAATATCCAAATTTTAACGCGTCTGCGTTCCACTCAAATTTTTCGCGCGAAAGTCTTTTTTCTTTCATTCTTTCATTTTTCGAATATAACGTGACCAGCATACGGAACATATAAATTTTATATCATTTATGTTATTTTATGTTATGTATTTTTATAATATTTATACATTATTTCCTAATTTTGTATCATATTTATATTATATTTGTACTTTTGTCTCGCGGTGATATGAATTAACTCAGCATATTAAAATATTAATGCAATTATCTCTCTCTCAAAATGCAGTCAAGCGAGGAAGATCTAGAACGGATCTAAAGTCGTCTACGTGAAAAGCACGTGTTTATTCCTCTCTATCGATATTTATAGACGTGCAATGTGTATCTATTACCCCTTCTATGTAGATACTAAGTTTACTATGTGAAAATACTATACTGTACATTTTTCGTTATCATATATCTTAATCCTCGTTGAGAAACGCATTTTATATAAAAACGATTATCTAAAATGTATTATTGAGTCGAAAGATACCAATTATTTTTTATATGTTTCGTGGTTCATATATTTTAATTCTTTTCGGTTTAGCAGCACATTCTTCTCAGATCATAATTTTCATTTCATTAGCTAATTCGCTAATTATCACGTCTGAAGTCGCAGAAGGGATCGATACATCTGTTGCGGCTGTATCTCGACAATTAAATACTCTGCAAGTATTTGAAGAGGTCTGAATAGTTGTAGTCACGTTCACGCGATGAACGTATTGATTTAATCTGTATTACTCGATATCTGTGGTTAGTACTGTTATACGTGGAATGTTGAGACGAAATATATCAAAGACAAAAAAATAAGCTAACATCTTTTCCCTTTTTATATCCACACAAGGATCGCAATGTTTGAAAAGCGCGCGTCTTAGATGGAGTAAAAAAGAATTTTTTTTTCATCGAGCTGTTTTAACGATGACTATAGATAAATGAATGCATATATTCTTGTAACACGCACACACACGAATACGTTATCAGCCATGGAGCAAGACCTTCGTATATTTACACCAATATCCGCCTTTACAGAACACGCTTACATGTCGTTTATCTACATACAAAGGACAGACATTTTCGATTCTATTCGTATACTTTCCGGTGTTTAACTTTCAATGCAACAAATTGTATAATTTAATGATTTTTTGAACAATATTATTTTGATATTTACAATCTTTAAATTATTTGAAATTTGTCTTTATAATATTTTTATTAACAAATATCTTTAAAAATTTGACTTTAAAATTTACTCTGATCTCGATTTTTTTTTTTAGAAATTTTCTTTGTCAGTGATATAAATAAAAATGAAGGTCTTAGAAAAGCGCGTTATTTTCGCAGAATTAAAATTACTTCTGTCCTGTTTTTTTTTTTTTAATAATCAGCAGGAATCTCTGATTTGCGGTAAATAATCATGATTTTTCATAAATTTCATCATTCTTCTACCTGCTCATTACATCGTTTTACCTTTATTTCTTCCGGCGTGCACATGTCTTTAGTCCATATCTTCGTTCATGGTTTCTGTTTTTTTTACGCGCGTTCTCATAAAGTTCCGCTCCAAAACTAGACGAACACGTGCGGCACTGTACCTTCTTCTTCTGTCATCTAAACACATGGTCCGAATCGCCGTTGCGCATTTCACATTCACATACGTATACACGTATACAAACTCATGCCTATGTATCATCCGATATATTCGTGCTCACGCATGACAGATGCGATGCTTAAAAATTTCCTCCTAAGAGAGATAAGAAGGGACGAGTACGCGCAACGCCCGACGAGATAAACAATTCTTTGAGAAAACGTTATCGAGAGCGTACGCTGGATGCTGTAAACGTCGCAACGCCCTGGACCAAACTGGCGTAGTCTCTCCAAGGGATCGATGCGCACGTCTGTGCGGCTCGCCCTCTTGCCCCGTATTCTCTCGACGATCTACCCCTGCCAGTCGGCACGCCTGCACGAGCAGCGTGAGCGAGGGGTGACGATGATGATGAGTCGACTTTTACTCTTATTCGTCCCTTTCTTGTATGCTGCGATGATATCCGTAGACAGTAGTAGTGCGCGCGCAGTTGGGGACGATGACATCATGCGCTTCCCATTCAAGGGATGAAAGCAACGTCTGTTGCATGTCCCCGACTCGTTTATTATCACGACGGGAAAAAAATTATTTTCATTCTGATATATATATATATATATATATATATATATATATATATTGATTTTCTCCGTCGTACGGAGAATATACAATAATATTTAATATTTTTATCGCGTAATTATTAGCAACACTTAATGATGAAAAAATAGATTGCACGCTTCTTCATTGAAAAAAACATGCGTGTTTGTTATATATCCTTGACCTGTTCATTATCGTGAGAGAAAAGAATTCTTCGCTTCATATATCGTCTCCGATATATTGATATGTATAAAGAATACGGATTGTAAAAAAATATTTAATATTTTTTAACAAATGTGATATTCCTAACATTTATTTATGAAGGGGTACAGCGCATCGCACCTAATAAATTAAGAAGATGAAAGAAAAAACATAAAGAAAAATTGTCAAAAAATCATACTTGAGATATTTTGTTATATTTCTCTTTTGATATTAATTTATATGTAAGTTAATATTGGATATTGTAGTTTGATATTTGAAGATTTCTATTACATTTAATCTTTTGTCAGAAACAAATTAATTTATTGTAACCTCTTTTTATGATATGATATAAAGGATGTAATTAAATCTTCTTCTTTCTTGATTTTTGAAAACATAGCCTCCTTTAAAAATAAATTTGAGTAAAATAATGAAAAATATAATTGAGGAGGATAATATTAGGCGGCAATTTTCCTTTACGTGCATAAAAAGATTTGATCGGTATCTCTTTATATGCCACCTATATGCTATACATATTTAAAATGTACATAAATTAAAATGATTTAGTACTTAAATATAAACGCAAAGAACCAATATCTCAGCTGCTAAACTTTAAAAGAATGCATAAATAAATCATCCGTTTGCGACAGAAAACAGATGATTTATTTATTCATTCTTTTAAACTTTATCAGCTGGAATATCAGTTCTTTCGCCGAAACCTCTCTAATTCTTAAATATTCAAATTCTTATTTTAAGAATTGACGTAACATCTTACGTAACTTTCTAATGCTTGTGAAGGTCACTTAACAGATCTATTTGTTTGCTAATTATCAGCTATTAACGGGTCTTCTCACGTGACTTCCGTTTCCGCGATGTAGAAGTTAGCAAGATTTTCAAAAGTGGACTACTTTCGAAGTATGGATTTTAATTTATACCAGCAACAAAAGATTTATCACCTACCTTAACTTGCTTGACTGCTTCCTCCGGTGGCAAATTTACCACACTGTTCATTTGGGTATCTACCCAGGCCTTCACCGCGGCGCTAGAATCTCTGTATTGCTGCCAGAGCCTGCACGCGTGTTGATATCGGGTGCAAAGGGCATCCAATTCGGCCCTTGTGTCCTCCCAAGCCTGTACGGCCTCATTTACTGCGGCGTCGACCCTCTCGCGGACCTCTGCGGCGCAACTCTCCCGCAGAGGCTCGGCAGCGGTACGTAATTCGCCAATGAGAACTTCTCGAGCACCCAAATCGCCGTTCAAACCCTGCCATTTTAAGAAAAAATATGGGAAAAAATATAATATATTGAAATATATATGTACGTATATTGTAGTATATTCAATATTTGTACATAAACATTTTGCAAATATTAGAAATCAAACAGTTGTTGCTTTAATTAAATAAATTTGAGTTTTAATACAAAAAGTAGAGCATTAATAAGTGCATATTTATGAAAAGTATTATCCGTACACTCATTTTTTAAATTTATATTATAATATTGAATACACTTTTCAAAGAATTATTAAAGACGTTTCAAATCCTCATTCACAAAAAAGAAGGTAACAATAATAATTTGTTAAATATATTTTTTCATTAATCATTGATTTTTTTTAAGGATACGCTATATACAACGAAAAAGAGATTGAACTTATTTTTTCACCGATTGAAACCTCGCAGTGTTCTCGTCTATTTTTATCCAATGTTGCTATTTCAATTTTAAGAATTTCGCCTGTATGGACGACTTTGCGTCAGACAATTCAAAGAAAGCGCCGGTTTTACTTAAAACACGCTATAAATAAATTTGCGGCACGAGACTAGCACATTTGAAGACTTACATGAATTCGGTCAGAACATGGTTGAACTAATTTTATGTCGTGTACTCTAGTTCGTTCACCTCGTGAATTTTCCAAGAAAAGGCACACGCAAGTGCATTATTTTATTATCAAGAGAGAATATTAATTTTTATCAAATACCAAAATCTACACTATCACGTGAAAAAAGAAACTTCAAAAATTTTCTTAAAAAGAGTTCTTCGATCATACAAGTAAAGTTATGTGAGGAATTTACGACTGATACTTTATCGTGTTTTATTTATCTTTACGCATTAACGGCACTCTCTGTATGTCAAAGTAGATTAATATTAATTATCAGTCAATGTTGAAGAACATTTTGATGTTTAGAAATTCTGGCGAGTCGCGAAGATAAATCGATAGACAGTATACTGAAAGAGGAAATCATAACTATATGTTTGAGCAGCCACGACGCTTCTATAGACGCTTCTCCACGTGTCATAGTTTACATACCGCGTTATCATGTAACGTTAATGACTATATTTATATCATCTTTTGTAATTGTTTTTAAAGTGGTGAGTGCCAGTCATCATTGATATGTAGTGCACGCTATATTTATTGCATCGCGAGATAGAATTTTCAAATACGCATCATCGAAGATGGTACATTTATTGTGGTTTCAAGTTTCTAGAGATTACAAAGATTCGTGAATCTCGTAAAAAATAACATTTGACATTCATTTATATCGCTAGTCAATTGAAATTGTATTTTACAAACAAAAAACACCACACGTTTGCAATTATAATATTATCGTTTCGCCAATTATAATGCACTTCATTGCATTTTATATACATTCGATACTGATTTATTCTTCGCTCAATGAATCGCGCAAAATTCTATTGCCTAAAGTTACTTATTTCGATCGATTTCTATCGTGTTTAATATTGCGTTTATGTTACACGTGTAATTGTACGATTGTTCGTAGACGTATCATGATAGATGTGTAATTTCATGTGATTATATGCGAAGAAATCGTGATAATAACTATACTGTACACTTTTATTTAATATAATCACGTTTATATATCTTGCTCAACCGAACGAGAAATCGCGAGATACATTCTTTGCTTTACATATACTATCTCGTTACAGACGACCTGTTGCTTGTAACGACTTCACGCCTGGCATAATATATGCTGATTTAATACTCATCGATGGATAACGGTGTGTGTATAGACTTGCCTCTTATGTCTCGCCGCGATGCGTAACGGTCTCGTTTGCAGAAAAGAAGAAGAGAGATACGATGATTCGGCGGAAATAAATCCTTACGAAATCATTTTCTCATATACGCATTCACATATTCGCAGAGGGTTAATCGATCGCCCCCGGAAAAAAAATATTAATGACGATCTTGAGCGCCGAGAAATCAAGAACTTTTTCCGAGCTATTTTTTATCAAAGCTGTATATCACACGCGCTGGTCGGTTTTCGTTTATTTATAATAAGACTGTGAATGTTATAAAGAGTCATACAAAAGAACCTGTGCAGTTCACGCGATTACAAAATGATTAAGACCCGGTTCGAATAATGTAATATTAACTTTTACCTCGGTTTAATTTACTCTTTATTTTCTTTTTCTAATTTTAAGAATTAGAAAGAGATAGACAGTAAGCTAAATCGAAATTAAAGTTAATTGATGAAACCGTGCTTAAGCGATATGTTATAAAAACGATACAAGGTAATAATTCCTAAGAAGGAGTGCCACATATGCCGTAGCAATAAATGATGAATTTTTAATGTAAACTTCCGTAGAATAATTAATTGTTTCGTTTTTTTTTTTATCGATACGTGCAACGCGCGGTGCCGAAAGGATAGCGACGTTTATGCCCCGCACAAACGTACATCCGGTTTCCTTTTGCAGATAACGCATGAATGCGGTTATTTCACGCCGATGGAGCGTTTAAAAAAAAAAACCTCATCATTCGGTCTATCAAGCATGCGAATCGCAGTATCCGCTACGCCACTTTCGATTTCGTTTAAATAGAAATGTAGTTAATTTCAACGAATTTATCAACGTTTATGTTTGCGATGATTGTCATTGAAAACTTACTAAGTCGTCACTAACAAGTAATGTGTTCAACTTCAATCCTAACGCCACAATAACTTTCTGTCAAAACGTGAAACTCCGGAAATTCTGTTCCAAATATTCTTCATGCAATCCGGAGCGACTCGGCACGTGACACGCGGAGCGGAAACGCGTCCGCACCATTCAAGAAAGCACTCACCGTCCGCGAGCGGGGGGCGATGTTACCTTGAGGCTATTTATTGTGCTTCGTCTTCGTCGTGGAATTCCAGCGTCGGAGAGTCGCGCCGGTTCGTAAAGAACTGCCTCATTCGATTCGTGTTTATCTCTCGGCCACGACCGAGCGATAACGCAGGTCGAAACGCAGTGAAGTATTTCGAAAGATATCGACGAGTCCGCGGATATTCTCGGCAGCGACGTAAACGTGACCACGGATCCCGCAGCACTGATAGGCACCGCGGTAGCGTACGATAACGCGGCTCTAAGCCGCGAAAATAAGCGAGAGCGGGAACGTGACGCCTGCGCGCGCTGAGAAACGCGACGTTCTTGTAACACGTGTGTACAATTCGAATCACTGATAAGATCGGCTTGTATTTATAATCGGATTCGTTCGATGATGTCATAGTGTATTGCTACGGTAAAAAGTTTTAACCAATCATTTGTAAGCTGCAAGAAGAGTTAGTTGAAAATTTCGAGATTACGATCCATTTGAATTTTCTTTGCCCAACTTAAATATACATTTTCCTAATTAGTATCTATTCGTGGCGAATAATAAATGACATTAATAAACTCGTTGATATTCCATGAAGTCATTACAGGTCACTGATCAATTATTTCATTGCTCAATATTATTATCGTGAGTAAATTGCATTGCTCTACTTTTGCGTAAACTGATATAACGTAAAGAAAAAATGACTCACCTCGAGGCGCTCCGTGGCCTTCAGCAATCTGTCGTAATCAACGGAGTCTTGGACGGTTAACAATTCCATCATATAATCCGCTTCTTGAACGGATTGTTGCACCATTTCCAGCTGCCTCTCGAATCGTCGCCATAACTCCAATCTATTCGTCAGCAACGAAAGCAGATGCGCGCATCTGGATTCAAGTTCGGTGTGTACATCCTGTATATTGGACAAGTCTCTTTCTATGCCCACTGGCGACACCGTCACTCTCATGCCGGTTGGTAAATTATGCAGCATCTGTCTTAATGCCATTAGATCTTGCCAGAGGACAGCTAACTCATTGGCGACAGATTGACAACGATCTACAGCCGCGGCTACCAGATCGCTTTCTTGTCTTTCGCTACCTTCGCATTGATCCAATATCATCGATAATCTTTTGTGAGCCTTCCTAAAGCGACTTAATCCATGTTGAAGAGCCTGAATCTTTTCTCTGAGTAGCTGTGCCGAATCTAGTTCTTCGCTTATCTGTCCTTCTATGCAACGCGCCGATGATAATAATATTCCGACTCTTTCACTCTCCGCCGCTGGTAAAAGACCTAATCTACCTATCTCGTTCTGAATCAAAGAGATTCTTTCGAACAATATCGTGAGTCTTTCGACGTATAGGTCTAGTTCTTCTTCTGTCTTCAGCACTCCATGGAAACTATTGATGGTTATTCGTAACTCATTTAGTTCCTTCTCGAGTAATTTTAGTTTCTCGTTCGACGAGATCTCGTCCGAGGAAATGCTGCGAGTGACATCTTCTTGAATTTCGTTGATCTTATCACTAATGTCATTCCAACGACCCTGCAACTCATAGTGAAACTGTCGCTGCAACATTTCGTCCGACAGAGGTATAATTCGTAAAGCTTGCTCGAAGTAATTGTCCGCTTCATTACGCATGTTGTTGTGAACCTCATATTGTGCTTTTAATTCCTGCAAGCGTAAAAAGATCGCTACAGAATTTAAGATGTTTAATCACTTGTAGTTATATCGGAAATTATAACCGTATAGAAACAAAACATCGCAGTGCTTCTTTCTTGCAATATGCATTTGAATTGTAGAATCCGGAATACATTACATTATAATTGCTAGACTAAAATTTTTTTTTATAAAAAAGTGGATGACGCAATGATGACGATGATGATAAAAATGAAGCTAACGTTACGTAATACATAACACTTTCGTTCACCAATTTTAATCGTACTAAAAATACGGCTCGCGTGAAAGAGAGGACATGTGCTTTCGATGGCACAAGGCCAAATGTGTTGGAAAAAAATGTGACCTAAATGCATGTACAAATACAGCTCACACAACGCTAAACATTTTTATTAAATTACTAATAAGTTATAAATATATTTAACAAGAATCTAGACATAGATCGAAAGAATGCTTACCCAGAATTGACGCATAGAACTCCCTGATGGATCATGTAATGTAGCAAGTTCCTTCTCGGCCATTATTATCCAATGTTCTACGCGATTTGTTAGTATCTCTTGATTGTTCCAGCTCTCTCTAAAAGCCAATAGTCTTTTTAGAGAGGATTCGATATCGTCTTGCAGCTTGACGATCACGTCTAGAGCTTCACCATATCGATCTTCAGGATCCTCGATGTCGATAAGTTCACGGAGGCTACGTGCCACACCGAGTAAGTGAATTAATCGTGCATGATGAGTTGCTACATCCAATGATAGAGACTGAAATGTGACAAATTAATTATTAAAATTAAATGCAGGACGTTCATACATCACAAATTCGTTAGTATAATTTGTAAGCTTGAATATAATAGTATTAATATAATAGAATAGTATTAATATAATTACTAACTTGATATAAAGAAATGTATTGATCGTAGTCGGTCGAAGTCACCGTTTGAAGATCAGGAACTCGTTGATGTGCAACCTGGAGCCATCCTCTTTCTTCTTTTACACCTTGCTCGAGTAACATCCATCGTGACGCCGCCAAAGCCATTTGTTGCGCTCTTGAAGCTGCCTGATCGAGCAGCGCCGTTGCTTTACTATGTAATTCTTCGTGCAAACCAGAGTGTTTGGCTCTGGTTTCAGGATCTAGATTGCCTTCCAATGATTCGAGAATTGCGCGACAGTGGTTCAGATTGACGAAAAATTTTCTGTGCTTCTGCATCTCTTCCTGGAGATGTTCCAGGCTTATTGCGGATATCGGACTGTCCAGCAAATTTTCAGCGATCTCGATAATTTGCGCAAATTCCTGAAGAGTTTGCTCATATTCTTCGGCTAAAGCAAGCAATTGGAGAAGACGTTCTCGTTCGATACATATATCATGTTCGATGATCTTTGTCATCTCATGCGCCGCGTAGATCTCTTCAGGTATAATCTTGCCGGGATGATCGCGCAGTAATTCTCGAGCGGCATCGAGAAGACTACTTGTCTTCCACATATGACAGCGATTGGTATTGTCTAGTTTATCGAGTTCCTGTAATTTCCATTGTGTGGAATACTCGCTTTCGATTATGTAATCGAGCTGTTTACGTTGTTCTTCGACTAATCTGTAACAAGAATTTATCATAGAAAAAAAAGGAAATTAATGATTAAACTAAAATTATGTTTATTTTTTATCACTTCTACTTTTATTTTTGGTTTTAGTGAAATATACTAAAAGATACACTATAAAAATTTATTAAATAAATACTATTTATTAATATTTTTATGTAGTATCTTACCTATATACGTTATTAATGCTATTTAGAAATTCATCCCATCTTGCAAATTGCCTATTAGCGTGTTTCTCTCCGTCAGTAGTAACATGCTCGATAATTTTCACCTGATGCTCAAGGGCATCTACACATTCTCGTAATTTCTCCCGTTCCTCTTTCGGATAGCTTGGCTCTAATTGCTTCCAAATATTATCGAGCTCACGGACACTTTCTTCTACATTATTCACCTCATCTTTCAATTCAATAAACATTTTGGCGTCCTCGTCAGAAGGTCCAGTCGGACATTCTCTGTTTAGGAAGATTCGATATTCAATGGTTTCTAACCAAGTCGAGATTGTTTCGACAACGGTAACGAGAGTTTCTTCGACAACTATGACATCATTCTCTTGAACAGCATGTTTTAATTGCGCCAGTTCTCTGCGAACATCCGACGAGCGTTCTTCCGCGAGTCTTTCTGTGGTAACTTCTTCTAGATGCGCGATATGCAAGATATTACCTAAATGACTCGATTCGTTGGTATTCTGTAGATTCTTTACTCGGTCAGTTATTATTTTAGCTGCTTGCATCGTTTGCGTTCCCTGATGTTGCGGTTTAGCGCTATATCCCAAAGATTCCTTTAAAAGGAAAGCCGCAGATAATGCCTGAGGAGACGATACTTGGATAACGGGTTCTTTCCACAATTGCGGTTCTTTCTTTTCATATATTTTTGCTGGTGTTTCAGATATTACTTCGGCGTACGTCTTCATTTCCGTTCGCAATGGTTTAATATTTTCTTTATTTAGAATAGGTTGCTCGATTTCTATGGGCGTCAGCGGCTCTTCAGTAGTATCCATTGGTTCGGGTGATAATTGCGTAGATATGAACGGTTTTTGATCTGACGACATTAACAATGGTTCTACCATCGGTCTACTAAGCGCAAATGTTTTTCGCATTGTTGCTACTTCAGGTACTATTGTTTCTGGAATGTAATTCGAATCGATTACAGATGGATCACTCATCGATGCAGGTACTACTTCCGAGGTAGTTGAAATATCTAAAGGTATTTCTTGAATGCCTTCTTCACGTCGATTTATTTTTTCTATCATAGTTTTTAATGCGGTGTCTTCCAATTTCACATCTGGTTCGATCTGAGATGTTATCTGAGAAGGATATTCGGATGCCGTTTCCTCCAATATATCGTCACTTCCCATCGAAGATTGTCTGCTGGTATGCTGTTTGGCAACATCGCAGTAAGACAGTTTCGCGACAGTATCTTGAGATTCTATGGATTGTCTAAATGCGGGTTCAAGCTCTGATTTGTCTTTGCTCGATACAGTGATGGTTTTATGCTTTCTCTTTCTTTTTTGCCGTTTCGATACTTTATTATCATGTTCCGCGATTATGTCGTTTTTGAGATCTTCGGCAATCGTAGTATCTTGCGAAGTATCGGTCGTTTCCTTGCTAACAGATGCAACACTATCGAGCGTATCACTGGCGGATAGTTCTATAGTCGCGTGAACATGGATTTCAAACGACGTATCCGAAGTATTATCCTTTTCTGACATGGAAGATGGTGTAGATTCTTTTGTAATAGTTTCCATCGGTTTTGGACGTTCTACCATCATAGATACTTCAGAAAATTCATGTTTTGTTTCTTTTTCGACGGGAGCATTCATCTGTACGATATTTTCTAGGACCGTTGTAGGAATCTCTGATATCAGCTTATTCACAATTTCTACTTCTTTTATTTCCTCTACGGGTTTCACAATTTTTGGTACTTGTACATCAGGTGCTGCTGGAGTTTTTTCTAAATCTATTTTCTCTTTCTTCTTTATCTCTTCTAAGGTAATTGGAACGGATACTTTGCTCAGATCTTCTGTTTCAACTATTCCCGTTTTAAAATCTTCCGTAGATACTTCAACAGTATGAGTAGGAACGTATGTTGTCTGTTGAGATACTGAGATTGTCTCAGTTGGTTGTTTCTCTTCTTTTGGTGATGTTTGTGTGCTGATCTCACATACTTCGAGAATATTTTGTACACTTTCTTCAATTTGTGGTATCAATTCTTCTGCTTTTATTTGCATTGAACTATCAGAAGTTTCAGTTTTCTTTGGACTGATTTCTGATGTCTGTGATTCTTCCTCTGTAGTTTGTTTCACATCTTCAATGCTAGTTTGAGCAGATTCTTCGCACACTTGTATAGGTTCCGGACTAACTATAGTTGGACTTGTTTGCATCATAGTCTCTTTGGTTTGCTCAGGCGATTTTGTTTGCATTTCAGATTCCTGTAATTCCACTTTTCGAGGACTCTCTTCAGGCGTCGTTTGTGTTTCCGTTGTTTCAGCAAGAACTTCTGGCTCTGCGATTGTTTGAGTATCTGTATGCGAAACATCTGGTTGTTCTGGACTAATCGGGGCACTTGTTTGCATATCTCTTTCGAAAGATTCTGGCACTTCAGATAACGTTTGAACAGAAATTTCTTGCACAATAATTTTCTCTACCACTAGTGGTGGAGTAGTCTGTTGCTCGACCTCTGTTACAGTATTTATTGCTGTTTGAGTTTCTGTTGCTATCATTGGAGATAATTCAACAGGTGAAGTTTGTATTTCCGTGGAGTGAACATCAATTTCAGTCGTCTGTGCTTGAGAATCTTCCGTTTCTACTGAGGCAGGAATGATATCTTCTATTGGACTAGTTTGAATAGCGAACTCTTCCATTGGCGTCGCCGTGGGTGTCATAGTTTGTACACCTGAATCTTCAACTTCCGGTGTTTCTTCCGCGATAGTTTGCGCGCTGAAATCAAGCCCGGGTTCTAAAAATGTTTGCGTTTCCATATGAGTCTCTTCAGTTTTAGCCGTTTGTATTTCTTCTTCCAAAGTGATCGGTACCGGCTCAGGAGAGGTTTGTATGAACGTAGAGAAACTTTCTTCTTCTTTTGGAGTAAGCGAAGTCGATACATCACACGTTTCTATAGCTGTTTGAGTATTCGCGTCATCTAATATAGTTTCGCGTTTACTTTCTTGTTGTATTGTTTCGACTTTAGTTTCTTTTGCCTCATCTTCTGGCTTTATTGTATCTTCTTTAATTTTCTCCTCTTCTATAATTTGATCATCTTCTTGTATCGTGATGTCCTCTTCTGTCTTATTCTTTGCGGTCATTTCTTTTACTTCAGAAATTTCTAAAGGAAGACTATTGTCTGTGAACGCCGCATCGTCGCTACTAGTCTTGGGCATATAAGTCAAATCTTCATCTCGAAGTGGTCGAACCTTTTGCTTTTTCTTCTTTTTCCTTTTCTTCTTTATGCCGTCTTCATTTTCCAGCGCGATCGACAATTCATCCATAGTTTTATCGTCCGGTTGATATCCTTCGATCTCTGCCACAATGCTATCGTCTAAGCTTAGAGAAGATTCGGACTTGATAATATCTGCGACGTCCGGTTGTGGTTGCTCACTAGCATGTTTGGACGAATCAGATGATGGAATATTGATCTCCATAGATTCGGCAATTGATGTAGCAATGGAAGTGCTAGAGTCTGTTTCTGCTGGTTTTTCCAAGGATTCTGATTTATCCTTGTGCCGTTTCTTTTTCCTACTTTTATGACTTGTAGTATCCGATTTACTCTTTTCTGGCGATTCGATGTAAACATCGACTTCTTTTTCTGCAGTATTTAATTGTAAGGTTTCTGTTTCTTTTTCAGCAGTGAGAAAGGCGGTGGTCTGCACAATTTTATCGTGTATCACTTCTGTTGTTTCCTTGTCCGCTGGAAGATTGATATCTACATCTTCTTTAACGATGCTATACGGGGCAATTTCGGGCCGTTCTGCCTGAGTTTTGATGGAAACCAATGGTTCCACTTCTTCATCTTCTTTACGTACCGACAGAGATATTTCAACCTTATGAAACATCGGTTTGTATTCTGGTTTGAATGCTTCATCCCTAGAGTTATCTTTTTCCTCGCTTATGAACAATTCTGGTAATATTTGCCGTTCTTTGGAAAATATTTCCGCATCTTTCAATTTTGAAGTAGGTTTTTCCGCATTTTTGTCAGACTCAGAAATATCTAGCTTACTTGTTAAACTAATCGATCCGTTTCCTAGCTCCAATTTTTGAAGTGATGTTGAGGTTGTAACTTCTTTGGATGATTCGAGAGAGACCTTTCTTTTCGATTCTTCTTTCTCATCATACTCTTTCTCTAATACAACATTCGATATATCGATATTTTTATCTGCTTCTACAGTGCTGCTATCACCATGGTGCGTCTCTACTTCTACCGTGCCATTTTCTAGTTCGATACTGAGTGTTTCGTTCTTTACTGGTGCATCGTCAGACTTACAAGTAGCCTTGGTGACCACTGGTTCATCATCTGTTACGGCCGGCTCTAATGGAGATTTTACAGATTCCGATTGTATCGTTGCAACATCTTCAACAGGAGTCTGCAAAACGGTAGATCGTTCAGCATCGATTAGCGCTTGATTATCGATCGCAAATGTACTTGTGCCATTTACCTCGGTAGGAAAGTGCTTGTATTCTTGTTTGTCTATCATTTGCGATTTAATTTCTGTTCGTGCTACATTTTCATCACTTTGTACAGTAGAAATACCTTCATCAGCTTGAATGCTAGCCAAATTTTCTTCTTGTGTTACGTGCTTTTTCAAAGAAGAGAGCACTGAAGTTTGTGTAGAATCCGTTAATTTTATCTTAGAATCAGCTGTGTCCGTTGTAAAGTCTGCTATTTTTATCATAGGTTCTTCTAACAATGTAGTTTCTTTTTTGTGATTTTCAATATCCAGTGTTTTGGTTTTCAAGATTTCATCTTTTTCCGCAATGGTTACCGAAGTTTTTGTGATCTCCTCTGCTTTATCTCGACATACGCTCGTTATATCTTTAGCAAATGGTCCAAAAAATGGTCCTTGCATCGGAGTTTCAGAGATAGAAGATCCCATTGACATCTCTGATGTCGCTGCTTCCCGTTGCTCTATTGCCTTTTCCGTTGGGAAAGTCTTTTGATCTTCGCTCTTAACTACGTTAATGCTGATATGCGGTATATCCTGCTCATCTATTTCTACTTCTTCAGGCTCTTCGATTACCTCTTCAGTAGTGGTCTCTTTACCATCTACGATAGTAACTTTTCGGATGATTTTACGCGTTCGCTTGATCACCCGTCTTGTGACTTGTTGCACCACAGCATGAACGCTTGATGTCCTCGTTTGATACTCACCGCCCTCCATCAGTATCTCCTCCTCGACAGGCTGACAGCTGATATCTCCTATCTGACCTTGCGTCACCATGCGCGTGTAACGGGGTTCGGATTCGTATTCCTCCACATTGATACTTTCGACGGGCGCGCTTGTAGTAACTTTGCCGCCGTAAATCTGTCTTGTCGTAGTCTCGATGGTACCATCTGGTCTTGTCCTGGTCATGGTGACTTGTTGATCTCTCATCGCAGCTTCTGAGAAAGCTTGCATCATCGTTGGCGTATCTCCGACTGCTGTCGACATCGTGGACATGCGCTGTTGTGTGGTTTGCCTGCTGGTGACTGTAGTACGTCGTAACTTTCTTACGATTATCCTCTTGGTGCCATCAGCGTCGACAACTACCTCGGTAGTGATGTCGTCTGGTTCGACCAGAATCGTCTCAAACGATTGTGGCGCAGCGTGGACAATGTTTAGCTCGCTCGTTGCACTATCGGTCTTCTTCGCGTCTTGATACTTCATATCGACAACGATATCTTCGCTGGACAGAATGCTGGATTGTTCCCGACGCGCTATTTCTTGACTAGAACTAGACGGTACGTATTTGGTCGCTATTTCGATTACATCATGATCGCCCGTTGTAGTCTTTAAAACCTTTATAGCTTCCTGCGTTTGAGCACTTTCGCTCGGCAATAAATCTTGTGATGTCTGCGTGGTGAGAGAATGGCACATGGTTGACGGCGGCATCTGCGTTGTAGACGTCTGTTTTGTGAGTTGTGCTTTCCTTTCGACAACGTCGTCGATTAGTAAACTTTGACCTGTTTGTAAAGAAACGTCAGCCAAAGATGGCGGACCGCCTTCTATGGAGGAATGAATTGAGGGTGCTTCATCCAAAGTAGCATTATCTCTCTCTGTCGATTCATCGTCAGCTTGAGCTTCCTCATCACAGATCTCCTACGAGGATAACAATTTTGTTGAAATAATACACTAATATAAATATTTGCAGCATTATAGTTTAGATATTTATTGTAAAGGTATTTGTATCTATTTCTGTATATGTTTCGAACTAATGAATACGTTCTTATATTTAAAATTATTGTTAATTATTTTAATTGTGAAAAATAAATGAAACATTAGGTTTATTTTTTTCTTTTTGTTAAACTGATTAAAACAGAAACTGAAACAAGGTAATACTCAAACTGGAATTTATTTAATTAGTAGAGTAATAATGGATAATAATCGTTTATCTAACACAAATTATTTCTGATAATACTTCTATCTAATTTTTGTTATAAGAAACTATTTGCAACATGTTATAGCTTGTGATAATTAAATTACACATAACTATACATAAACTAACTTTTTCTACTGTAACGTAGAAAAAAATTCAATTATTTTTTTATAATAATAAATAAAGTTAATTATCACACGTATTGACACATTGCAATTAGATGATTTGAAAATTAATATGAAAATAATATGAATAATATTCAATCATATAAAAATAATATGAATAATATATGCACACATTTTAAAACAGTTTAGTTTAACGGTTTTATCTATCAGTATGTCGTATATATACATACTTAGAAATTATTATTTACGCGATATTATTTACATTATTTATGCCGGACTAAATATGATATATAACTATCATAGTTAACGTACAATAAAAGGAAGAGGGACAGGTATTAATGAGAATTTTCTTTAATTACATGAAATATTACAGCAATGTATTAACATTCCTTGATTACATGCAATGCCTATATTACATCCATCACCTTAAGATAAACGAAAATACATAATAATCACATGATACAATTAATGTACAATGAACTAATAAGTAACGTACGGTGCATGATATCTATAGTGAAACGATGTGCATGATGAGAAGCGCATGTGTTTGTAGCAACGATGGTCAAGATAAAAGAAAAAAAATATTTTCAAAATAATGTTTTGTACAATTAAACGATTTATATTCATATAAGCATGCAAAAGTGAAATTGTAATTTTATTAACCTTGACTAGAATGTCTATTGCCGACAGTTGCATTATATTTATTGCCGCTTATTACAAAGCGTTCATTATCATCTAATTGACATATATTACACGTTGTTTCCGGAATGACTATCCAAATTCAAAGGCACTATTTCAGACTCTTAGAGACTCAAGAGACTAAATAGTTTTGATGCAGATTTACGAATCATTTACATGAAAACAGGAAACATTAAATTTTACATATGACTATCAATTAATTTTATTCGTTACTTATAATTTTTTATCCGCTCTACAAAGCTTATCAGCTTTGTAATAATCGCAAGTTGCAAGCTTTTTATTTTCTATTCCCAGTATAGCGAAGCTTTGGCAAGTTCCAAAAATTAAAGATTTATTTTTCCGAATTCTTTGTATTATCGCTTTAAGCAACCGAGCCACCATGAAGAGTAGTGATATTTGCGAAAGCCCCCGAAGCGTTGGATACCTGCTGCTTTCGTTGGAGACGGTCAATTACGTCCAAGAGGGCTTCTTTCAACGCTATCGCTAGCGCGCTCACTTCCGGCAATGATTCGAGTTCTGAGACTTGACCTGCACGACTCGTTAATTCTTCCTGTAAAGCCTGCCCGTTATGATAAATAAAAAAATCGGCATTATTTTGCGTGCAATGAATAACGCGTATTATACAATTACTTAATCAAATTAACTCTCGATCACGTTAAACCGATGCTTATAGTATATGTCTAATATAAAACTATTGATTTATAATTAGAAATAAGGATTAACATTTGATTTTTTTAAGAAAAAGAATACGTATCTAATTTAATCATTTTTCAAAGTTTTTAAAATTGTTGAATATAAAATATAAAAGTCCAAAATAGCAGATTTAATATAGCGCAAAAAATAAAATATCTTCAAATAATTTTTTATTAAAAAAATTTATATTAAAACAGCATACCTTGCTGGTATTAATTGAATGTTGCTCATGCAATTTTGATATGACATTTCTTAACCAAGTATCAGTCTCTTCGAGGAATAATTTATAAGTATGAATCTCTTGGCCACGTTTCTCTCGGCTTTCTCGTGCTTGTTCCAGAGCTGTCCTTCCTTGTTCTGCTTGATCGAGAAGGGAAGCGACGCGTGTATGAATTCCCGTTAAAGCTACCGAGAGTTTTTGTGATTCAATATCGGCAGGAATTTCTTGTAATCGCTTTTGAAGTTGCGTAGCATCCTCATCATAGGCGCGAAGCTCCATTAATATAGTCTAAAGAAGTTAGAGAGAATTTTTTGAATCATCTTTTCCGATATATTTTTCTGTACAAGAAAATTAATCTACTAGAATGATAACACGAATTTAATAGAAATTTTCTTATTTTTTAACTTGCTTTAATTTTATTATAAATTTTTAATGATTATATAGATATACAATTTTTTCTCATTTATTTAACATTCTTACCATAAGAGATGAAAGCATAGACTCTATACTATCTCGAGGCAAATAGCTCATCGTTCCTTCGAGATTCGAAAGTCTTGCTTGTAAAGAAGCGAAGCCTTCTTCGACGTCCTAAAACATAAACGATCATTAGCAATTTTATCGTCGATTATGAGATTTATCACTACTTCAATCATGCCGTGCACACGACGGAATTCAATCAATTTTCACGCTGAATATTAATCCTATTAAATGAAAACTCTTAAAACCTGTAAAAAAAAGATGTTATCTGATGTTATAAAATGGCATACTGCAAAATACAATGAAAGCACATTGATGAAGACAACTCCTTCAGTTCTGTTATGAAAAGATGAACAAACACTCGTTGCTATGTATAAAGAGGTAAATCGTCATCATGCAAATTGTCAGTACATTTCAGGATATCTCATTAAGCAGTCCGAATGCAAAGACCTGTCACGTAAAGTTGCCAGCAACCAAAAGTAAAAAAAATCAGAAACACTGCGTATTAATTTATATTTTCCATGAGCTATTGATTTTCAATTATTCTGCGTAAATTATTTCGTTGATATTTGATATTATCGCTCATTTATCAATATATTACAAATTATGTAGATATATATGTATGTATATTGATATTTAATAAGCGTAATATATATAGGCTATTTAAGTAATAATATATATATATATATATATATATATATATATATATATATACACAAAAAGCACATATTTATAAGCGGAATAAACATGCAAGTACTACAAACTGTATTTTAAAAGGAAGATTATATTATCGCTATTTCATGCGTATAACATATTGTACTAATTGATTTCATTTTGTTAAATGTATTCGTAAAAAATTAAAATGTTTTGTGAGATTAGGACAAGTTTACAACAATGATAATAATTCGATAATAGCGAGTAGGGAGAGCAGCAGTAACGATATATTTATGTATGTATGGGTTGTAATAGACGACACAAGAAAATCACACACATTGGATTCAGTATCGAACAAGTAAAAGAAAACGTAGTCGTTTTACAAAATGAGAGACAGAGAGAGCGAAAAACCAGTGGTAGACAATCCAGATAACTAAATACAACACGTATATATACATATAGATGTATATATACATATAGCAGCGGACTTGGTTCAAATTTGACTAGAACAAGACCGAGCACTGGCTGTGACGGTGATCGCACCTGGATCCTGCGTATCCTTTCAGCCTCGCCTTTAGCCGTCTCTCTCTCCACCTCCCCGTTCGGGCTGCACCGTTGCACGGATCCCTCCCTCGTCTCTTTACCTAAATGCAGTTTGGATTGTGGAAGGTGGGCAAAGGTCGATGATTTGGTGCAAGTGCTAGGATCATTGGAACTTTGGAAACTATTCGAAGAAGAGACAGGATATTCTCTCGGTGTTATTTCGACGTTTGCAAGAGATTCCATGCACGATTCAATCTGCGAATCCTGGGAAGGAGGGGATGATGACAGGAATCTAGGAGATGATGACTGGACTTCGTTTGGCAACGAGTTATTCAAAGATAAACTCGAATGTAATGTTGGATCCTCGATCGTGCCGAGTGGTAGATTGTGATCCATTGTCCGCTCGCTCTCGCTCGATAGATAAGTGCTATAGTCGCTCCAGCTACATATGCCACCGGGTAGATCGGCTATCATACGCTCTGTCTGAGGTGTACCCAGAAAAGAACATGAGTTTCCACAAGAATCCCATGACCTACTACCACCGCTACCACCACCCGAATTGTCGTCGTCGTGATCTTGGGGACGATCGTCGGAATCATGTTTACTATCATGTGAGAGACTTTTTTTTGTATGTAAGGCTAAGTTCTCGAAATGATCACGCTCGGCTTCGTGATAAGGTCGTTTGTCAGGCCAAAAACCATCATCAATAGACAGGAACCATGAATTAGTTATACACGAATCAGTTGTAGATTGTTCCTGCAGCAAGGATGTTGATGGAACGTGCTTTCGTCGATCGGGATTCAGAACTAAGATCTCGTCCGCTATATAGAACTGGACTTTAGCTTTGGATGGCTCAACTAAAATATCAGAATTTTCTTGTTCGGTACTTGCAATGCATTTCAATTTATTCTCGTCTTCGAAGGATTGTTGTACAGTTGAAGATAATTTATCTGATGGTAGAGAATGTTTTATAGCTGTATTTACCGAGTCACACGGTAACTCCTTTTGCATGCAAACATAATTAACTGGAGTTTCTGTTTCGATTTCATCATTTGTTTTATCTGATATCAATACCGATTCTGTTTTGGTACTATCGTTGTTAATTGTAATATCATGTAGGTTCAAAACATTGTCAGATATAGATAAACAAATATTGTTAGATTCTTTTGTTTGAGGCAAGTCAATTTCAGTTTTTTCTGTCAAAATATCAATGGATACTTCTTTGGCTTCAAGAACATTTTCTTTTAATTCTTTAATGTCTTCTTGCTTAATTGTTTCCGTGGCAATAGAGAAATCTTTGTTAATTACATTTTTTGGAGATTGTAAAATTTCAGCTAATTCATCGTTTAATATTTGATCTTTGATATTTTCTTCCTTAATTTGCGTAATGTCGCATACTTCTATGCCTTTAGATAAATTTACTTTAGTGTTTTCTACAATGGATAGAGTTTCGATTTCCTTAGGCTCAGTAAATGTAGTTGTAAAATTTTGAGACTTAGTTTTATCATCTTGTTGTTGTTTTTCTTTTTTCGATTTGGATTTGCTTTTGGCTTTTTGTTTGTCTTTTAGCGATGTTATATGTGGAAATGAGGTTTCACCTATAGTTTCGAATTTCTCCAAAGGCTTCTCAATTTCTTCTCTTTGTACAGATTGTATCTCAATTATTGACTCATCGTCTATTTTATCTTTTGATGATGCGATTTCTTTTATTTTAATGTTTTCAATAGTATTACATATAGTATCTTTAGATGAATCAGTAAATTTGCTCTGGGCAATTTTTACTTTTTTCTTCTGTTTACGTTTTTCTGCTTTTGTGAATTTAGGAATTTCTTTTTCTTCCGTAATATTTTTTTCTATTTTTTCTAAGTGAGATTCTGTACGTATCTCTGCATTTTTCGATTCGTCAACTATCATTTTCTGTTCAATACTTTCTTTTTCTGTAGTTTCCTTTTCTGTAGGAATCATAACTTGTTTAATATTTTCTTGTTTTTTAATTTTTTCTGCTGGAATTTCTTCATTTTCTGGATACGTAAGTATATTACATGTCATATCTATAGTAACTGCTTCAAGTTTTACTTCATCTAATTTTGGTTCTACTGGCAATTCTGTTTTCTTTTCTAAATCTTCAGCTATAGCTGTCTTTTTGTTTATATTAAAAGCATTTTCGCTCAGTTGTTCAATTACAAATTTTCCCTTTTTATTTTTCTTCTTTTTAGATTTACTAGTATTGTCTTGATCTATAATCGGAAGTGCTGTTATATTCTTGCATTTATTCTCTTGCGCATGCTCTGTATCTTTAATTAACTCTATTTCTTTTATTGATTGATCTTCAATATTTTCTGATTGGATCTTATTATGTTCTGTTTTGTTTTCATTTGCAGATTTATTTTCTTTCGGTTTTTCGATATGTTTTAATTCTTTGTGTTCATTAACTTCAGATTGTTGTTTCATATAATCTTTACCAGTTTTATTCTTTGACTTAGTCTTTTTACCTTTAAGTGTTGTGCTTAGTTCGGATTTTGTTCCTTGAATAATTTTATTCTCAACATGACTTTTATTTTCTGCAAATTGCATTTTGTTTTCATTCGAGTCATTTTTCTGCTTGTCTTTATCTTTGCTGTTAGATGATTTGACATTTTCTTCTTTCATAATCTTTGTCAATTCGTCATTCTCATTAACTGTTCTCTGTTCATTTTCAGTTTTTTGCACAGATTGCTTAATTTTATTTTCAATTTCTTCTTTAGCTTTAATATCTTTACTATTTTCAGATTTTATATCTAGTGTTTTTATTTCTTTGTTTGCATATCTTTTATCTTGCCTAGCATTTCGTGAGCGCGATCTAGAACGTCTAGAGCGTAACTCCTTCCGATTAACAAATTCTATAAAACCCTGTTCGTCTACCTGAACTAAATTCTCTATAGGTTCTTGTTTAGGAGCCTCTTCCACACAAATCTGGACCTGCAGCGGAGGTTCTATATTTTGTTCTGGCTTAGGAAGATTTTGTTCGAGATTAATAATATCATTAACTTCCGGTGATTCTATGGATTTTTTACCAACTATTGCAGCCCATGTATTTTCTGGTTTTATATGTGTTTCATTATCTTTTGTATTGATTGAATCAACAGAGATAGTTGAAATAGCCATTGTTTCTTTTTCCACTTCTTCTACCCAAGGAATTGATTCTTCTTGGGAACTGAGGTTTGTAATAACTGTTTGATAATCAGAAGACTGTACTGCCATTTCATTTTGTTTGTTATCTTGTTCTAACGGACTTTGTAATTTCTCTGTAATAAAATCTTCGTGCATTTCATTTGAAATGGGTGTCTTTACATTGATTGCCGAATGATCTATCTTTAATGGAATAGTTTTTACTAAGTACGTTTCTTCTTGAGAAATCTGAGGAGAAGTTCTTCGGGAGGAGGCTGTAACTTGCGCGTAAGATTTATTACTTTCTTTAAGTTGTTTCAACAATTCTGTGGATTTCTCCTCGATTGGTTTGATTTCATCCACCACTGTTGCCTTTAATTCTTCGATGACATTTTTGCTTATTTGATTTTCTAACGGAAGCAAATGCGTTGTGAGTGTTTCTTCTTTTGATGGAATTTCGCATGAATCATACTCAGTCGGCGCTTGTGATTGTTTTACAACATTTGTGACATTATCATTTGTATCTTGAGTAATAGCGGATATTTGAGTGTTTAAAAAGTCATCTTTCGAAGCAACAGTTGTCTCTGTTGTACCTTTTTTACCAACAATTGCTGCCCATGATTTAGCATTCGGATTTAATCGACTGTCATATTTAGGCATGTCATCTTTTGACTCTTGTTGGTTTTCCACAATTGATGATGTTTCAAATACATCTGATTCTGCTTTAGAGAGAACAATACTGTCATCTTTATTTAAGTTACCCTCACATTTCACCAATGCTGATTTCTCTTTAAGAATAACTTCGGGTTTCTGGTTTTGTTTTTTGGATTTTTTGGATTTCGGCTTACGTTCTTCACGTTTCTCACACTCTTCTTTATCTTTGTGCGATTCAACCTGTTGTTTATCTACTATCAAAGATTTCTCTGCTTCTTTTGTTTTACAATCACTTTTATTTTCCAGTTTATGTTCTTCTAAATTACTTTGTAATGATAAATCGTCTGTTTTAATGTCACTCTGCTTGTTTGCAGTTTTAGTCTTCGCTTGATCTTTAGTTTTTGTGACTTTAACATGTTTTAACTCTTTCTTTTTCCTTGGTTGATTTTTTGTTTTATCGCTTTGTTTTTCGTTCATAACCGTTTCATTTTTAATATCTTTTATGCTAGTATGATATTCATCTTTTACAGCAATTTCTGTTAGGGAAGTACCATTTAAAATTTCAGTTTTTTGTTCTTTTGTCTCAATGTCTTCTTCATATTTCTCAATTACATTTTTCTCTTTAATTTCTTCTGGTTTTTCAATTATTGTTTCTTTTTCAATTTTTTCTTGTTGCTCTTCAATAATTGGTTCTTTCTGCTCTATCATGTCTTCTTGTTTTTCAATTATTGATTTTTTCTTTTTTATTTCTTTTTCTTCGATTTGTTGTTTAGTTTTTGCTTCTTTTATTTCAATGTCTTCTTCCCTTTTTTTAATTTGGCTCTCTTTTATTGTTTCCAACTCATCAAAATCATCATCAATTATTATTTCTTCCTCAAGAAGAGCCATCCAAGCATCATCAGATTCTAGATGTACACATGATACCTTTGCTGGTTTTTCTTTAATTTCTTGATCAGTTTCAATATTATTTTTTATATCGATTTTGTTTTCTTGAATATTTGTATCTATTATTATTTCTTCATCTGTCAACTGATTATTACTGATTTTTTCGATGGATGGTTCAATTTCAACGGAGACATTTAATTCTGTAACTGATTGTGGTATTGAATTATTAGTAATATTAATTAAATCTTTTACATTATTATTAAATAGCGTATTATTAGCAGATGTGCTAACTAAAGTTATAGTTGGTTCTCGAATTTTTTCAATTGATTCTCTGCACGATGGAATTTCTACAAATTCAGAAATATTTTCAGATAATTGTTTTCCTTGTATCTGTACTTCATTTGTTCGATCTTGGTTTTCAACACCTATCAATTTTGTATCTAGCGCTTCATTAATTGTATTTTCTTCCGAATTAAATGTATCGTCAAAATCGTCTTCAATCAGTATTGGTTCATCTAAAATACTCATCCAAGAATCGTCTGAAACTAAATGTACAGATTGTTGTAAATCTTTCGATTTTTTATCTTTATCTTCACTATCATTTGTTTCGATTGCTTCAAGTTTCTCTACAATCGCAATTGTATCCTTTGTAAAGTCAGACACTACGTTTACAGCTTCTTTTTCGTCAACAATTTGTTCCTCTCTTTGTATTGCAGTTTTTATAGATACTTCAGAGTCATCAGAAGAAATAGATACGGATTTTTCAGGCATGAATTTCATTTTAATCCATTGCGACTCAAATTCGTAAAAACTGGTGATCGGATATTTTGGCGCTTCTACGATAAAAGCATGTCTTCTATAATTGCTTTCATTCATTTCTTGGTTCGATGATTTAACATCGATCGGTTTCATTACCGAGTCTTGTACGATTCTTTCTATGCTTTCTGGTCTTGTATGAACTGTAACAGCAGGTTGTACTTTTTTTACTGTTTTAACAACTTTAAAATAACGGTGAAAATTACTTTCTGCATGATTGTAAGCATGGCGGTCCATCGCATAAGGTTTAATAAGATCTAATAAATGTTCAGGCACTATTTTCTTCTTTATTTTCGAACTTTCAGGTATTTCTTTACTCTTTATTTTTCCGATTGTGTTTTCACTTTCGCATTCTATCGCAAATTCTGTTTTTCTATCTACCTTTTCCTGAATATTATTAGCTATTGTATTAGCAACATTGACTTCATTTTCATTTGTACATTTATCGTTCTCAGTTAAAATATTTGAATCAGCTTGACTAGTTTCATCACTTAGTATAATATGATTATTTTTAACTGAATTATCAATATTTTGGCCTTCTATAATATTGTCATTTTGTAAAATAGTGTCAACAGCAATATTTTCTGATGTCGTTGTTATAATAGTATTCTCCTTCTTATTATCATTCTCTCGTTTTTCTTCAGGAATTTCTACCTTCAATTGATTTCCTAATCTTTCTATATCATTTAATTGAGTAATAGCTTCTCCTTTCTTCTCTTCAGGTGGAGTTATTGGCGGGGACTTCTTTGACATATCGCGACTTTCTGAAGTGCTCGAACAAACCCTTCTCCTATCTTGTACGCTACCGAATAGGGCCGTTTTGTCGGATATCACATTGTTCTCGGTGGAAATCGCGGAAGTTAAACCTACTTTTTGAGAAATTGCTGCCTGATCCGATTGCATACTAACGAGAGAATCATTTGGTACCCTAGCGTAAGTAGTAGTAAGACTAGCCTCTACAGTTTCAGGACGCAAAGTGATTAACTCGGTAACTTTGGAACCTACAATTTTGGGAAGGGGTATGTTTTCTATTATTTCTACCGATTTAACGGACTTGACATCGGGTGGCTTGACCTTTACCGATCCTGGAACGCTGGTAGTAGTCGTTACGGTAGTAATCATTTTTTCTATAATCAAAGCCTTCCCTGTCGAAGACGGTTGTTCGGATTCTAAATTATGTGTTTCATCTGTGTATTTTTTATATATTTGAGTTTTGTCGACCGAATCACTTGAAACTTTAGAATCAATTTCAGTTTCATTCTTTTTCGGTGATTCTTGCGTCTTTTCATTATCATTATTATCAATTTTTGCAAGAGATAGATTTGTAAACTTTGGAGTTTCTTCTTTCTTCGTTGAATCATCCTTGAAAACGATTTCCTCTTGGAACTTATCGTAAAAAGACTGTTTCGTTTGTTCAGCTGTATGCTTAGGAGACAGGTATTCTTTTTTCTTCGTACGTTTCGACATTTTTTCCTTGGGTGCAACGTCTTTCGATTTTTTAATATCCTCTGTTAATAGAGAATTCTTATCGTTTATATCGGTTTTAACATCTTTATTTTCTATAATTGTTTCTTTATGGTGATCAAATTTCTTATTTTTAATATTCCGATACTTTTCTTCCATGTCCGAGACGATATTACTTATTTCTGAAGAAACTTGAGATTCTTTAGGGAGTGTTTCTGTAGAAGAAATAATTTCGACATTCTTAGTTACTGTAGTAGGTTTAGCCAAATCCGTCTCAGGTACTGTAGGTTTTTCAGTTGATTTATTAACTTGGCCGAGTACTATATCTTCTTCCTGATCTATTTTAACGTCATGGTTATTTTCAGTGTCTGTTTTTGATTGAATAAGACAGCTGTTATTAGGCACTGATACATGTGATTCAGCCAAATTCATTTTTTCCGAAAATTGCTCTTGGATGATAGTTTCTTTTGAAGGTACAATTAAAAATTCGATATTAAGTTCATCTTTCTTTTTATCAATTTTATTTTCGACATGCTGCGGTATTTCAGTACGATTTTCTTTTCTTTTATCTTGAACATTAGACTTTGTTTTTTCGGATTTTTTCTGTTTCGTTGTTTTTGTCTGACATTTCTCTACTTCTGGTTTTTTAGTTTTTTCAATTATTTTTGTATTATTATTAATTGCTTCTTTCTCATCCATTGTATCGGTCTCTAAATTTTCTGTTGTGAAACTTTCAACTTCTAATTTAGCGTTTGTTTGATGTTCTGTTTCTTTGCTTTCTTTAACTCCAGCTGAATTATACGTTTTATCATTTTTATCAATATGTACAATTTCTTGTACTGTTTGTCGAATTGTTTCAGGCAATAATATTTTTTTTGAAGTTTCCTGAATTACTGCTGCAATTTTAGCTTCATCGATCATTTGTTCTGATTTTGGAACAACGTCATATTTTTCTGCACCATTTACATTTATTTCATCCAAAACTTTGCTTGTTGAAATTACAGATGTTGGATCAATTATGGCCTCAGATTTTATTTTATTTTTAGAGGCTTTGTCTTTCTTTCGAGGATTGGTTTTACTTTTTTTGCTTTCGTTTACATCGCTAGTAATTTTTGTAATATTAAGTGTCTTTGATTCGGAATCTTTTATTTCAATATCAGTTAGTGGTTCAATTGATTTCAAAGATTTGTCCTCAATTATTTCTTTAGTACTGATTTTAAACTTTTCTTGATTTATGTTACTATCTTTAGCTTCCAGTTTTACCTCTTTTGACTTTGTCTTATTCTTTTCTTTTTTTGAAGCATCTTTATGTTTTTTTGTATTTTCGATTTTTGTAGACGTATTTGTTTTTTCATTTGTACCTTCCAATTCGATTTTTTGAGTAACTAATAATTTTACATCTTTTGTTACATTTTCATCGACTATATTTATTTTATCCTTTTTGTTATTACTTAGAACATCCGATTGATATTGCATTTTATTTTCTGAAGATTCTCCGTTTTGTTCTTTTGTTTTTGTATCTTTATCAATTTTGTTCTTACATTTCGTTACATTGTCGAGTTTGTTAGAATTAATGTGGCTATTGTTGTCGATTTGCAATTCTTTCGATATTTCCTTGGTAATATCTTTTTGGACCTCCTCTTCATTTTTGGAATCTGAGACTTTTGCATCCTTCGTATCTTTTTTATCTTCCACGTCATCTTTTAAAATATTTTTATCGCTTGCTTTGATTGTACTTGGCAACATGGCGTGTTCCATAGATATAGTTTCTTTTGTTCTTGTTGCTTCTTTAGATTTTTTTGATTTCTTGGACTTTTCACCAGATTTGCTTTGTTTTTTATCAATTTCATCGTTATATTTTTCTATCGTTTCATTAACAGAATCTCGAGATTTGGTTTCCTTATTTTGCTCTTTAAGCTTGTCTTTTTGAGATCTTATTTTTTGTTTATCCATATCCTCAATCTCTTTAAGGGCTTTGTCAATTTCATCTCCTATTGATTTATCCATTTTCTTTTTCTTTTGCCTTCGTTTCTTTTCTTGCGATGGATTTGTATCTAAATCGACTACTGACTGTTCTTGCTGCACTGGTTTTTCCTCTTTTTGCAGGCTATCGCTGATTTTATCGAGAAACGATTCATCTTGCATTTCCAATTGCTTCGGCGGAGTTAATTTTTCGTTCTTTTGTTTCTCCTTTGATTTATCGATAGGCTTTCGAGATTTTTTCTCATCCGTCTGTTTAATTTTGTCATTCGAGTGCTGATGCCTCTTCCTGACCTCCCGTTTCTTCATCGTGTCCCAATCGTTTTCTTTGGATTGTTTAGATTGCTCATCAGATGTAACCGCGAATGATGACGACTCTTGTTTGAATTTCGGTTCCTGCAATGGTGACAACTCGCGAGATGATAACTCGAGTGACTCTTTTGGCGAATCAGAACGTTCTTTACTTTGATAATTCACGGCTGCCGATTCACTAACTATGCGTGTCGAAGTAACACGTGAACTGAGTCCATGCGAAAGTATTTGCGCGTACGAAAAGGTTTGCCCTTTGGTTTCCATATTATTCAGTGATGACGTATTCCTTTCTTCTGTTTTATTCGTTGTGGAAGTTTCTACATTTGAGATATTTACAGATTTTTGCTGTTCAGGCTTATCGATAGATTCAGTCGCACTCACGTCTTCAGATTGTCTAACTATTGGCACTTCAACAGGCTTTTCCATCACCATCGCAGTTGTATGTCTCATATCATCAACGGGTTGCTGCATTGGAGCCTGCTGATAAATGTCCGATGCCGAAAGATATGCAGTTGGCGCAACGTAATGTTCTGGCGCGTAAGCTAAGGGACTGTTATCATAAGGATTCAAGCTCATTTGATCGAGTTGCTGTACTTGCTGATGATGACTGGACGGCGCGTAAACGTACGAACTTACTGGATACGTTCCGAGATGAGACCCGATGAAACCTACCAATTCCGGCATCGTTTCCGGTATCATATATTCATAGATCTCCGTCGGTTGCTGTTGTCTTGGCACATTCTCATAAGATTTTACATGTTGCAGCACATTGTAATCTTGCAAAGATTCATCAGTCCAATTAGTCGGTTCAGATTCAGTGTAATTTTGATCCTCTGCTTTCTCCGTTTCAGGTTGACAGTAAGTCTCTGTGATTTGCATGTTTCCCGCCTCTATTTCTTGCATCGGTACAATTTGCTGGATCTCTGTGACTTGTTGAGACTTTTTAGCGTTTGCGATATCTTGTTCCGTGACTTCTTCCACGCGAGGAACTTCCATTCGACTCCGTCGAGATTCTTCGGATAAAGAAACCATTTTTTGTCTAGGTGGTTGCGCAGGAGAAGTAACCTGCGTTGTCTGTATACATCCACGGAGGATGTCAGCGTAGGAAGTAGAACCGGGAACCCACATGGGACTGGGCGAACGTCCTCTTCGTTCTTCACATGGTGCTAGAGAGTTCTTCGCGGGCTCCGTTTGCGTTTCTTCCCTGGAATTCGCGCCAGGTCCAAGATTATCACATCTGTCGACTTCTCCTTCTTGATCCGCTATTATTTTGGGATCTTTCGCTTTGGATGAGTTTGTCTTGCGTGTAGGCGATCGTCCTCGACGTGGCATGGATAATTCGACTTCGGGTACAGCTTGTTGACATTCTTCTGCACCGATTGTACTTCGGTCATCTGTTATTGGCACGAGTGTTTCGGTTTGTTGTTGCGGTTTATTTATGTTCGTGTCGTGATTTTTATGAATCTGCATCTTTGAGATTTGTGTCTCGTCCAACGAAAGAGGATGTTCCATCGTCAACTTTTGAGCTTGCATAACCGTGGGTCGTAATACTTGTGCGGTCATGGTAGGAGGAGTGACTTCTCGTTGGTGTCTATAGGGACTACAGTTTCTCGAGCTTGGACTATTGGTACGTCCTGCTGCAATATCGGCATACGAGGCTTGGCCTATGAACCGGTACTCGTTGGTGGGTACGTAGTATGGATCCACCTCGTGTATCTGATCTACCAGTGTCTTGTTGCGTTGCTTCCAATCCTCCACCCGTTGTTGCAGGCTCTGCTTTATCCACCGCGGAAGGTCAGCCAAGGCACAGCAATGGAATACATATACTATGTCAATTTTAAGTCTCTTTACATTCATCGTGGGATGGGGGAACGATATTATTTTTAAAGCCAAGGTTTTCATTTGAGCAAATCGCATTAGAGTACATCGAAAACCTCTCTGTGTACGTAAGTAAAATGAGTGGATTTCGTGAATGAATGTACTTGAACATCGATTGACAATAAACGAGGTTTTTATTTTTCCTTATTCAATCACATCGTATGGCTATTTAAGCACAGATATTTAGGTCAAGAGACGCGCGCTCATACATGATAATATAATCGAGTCTATAATCTCGTAGAGTGATAACTATTAGAAAATCAGTGCTCGATAAAAATTTACTTAGAAAAATTACGTGGTACTAAACTAAGTCGTTTGATCTTATAAAAAAACGTTGACGATGAAGGTAAGAGTGGATTTCATTTTGCATCTGTTCTACCTCGCCTTTATCGTTAATGTTTCCTTCGATCAGGTTTTACATGTGTAATTTGAGACGCGGCGGCTATCATCGTCGTTATTCATCGATAATAGCGAGTAAGAATTATTGAACCGAAAATAGAGGAGATAACTTATTCGAAATGAAACGAAGATAACGACGATGAGAGCCGAATTCATTCAACGGGGGTAGGTCTCTATTGTCATGGGTCCAAGGGCTCTAAATCTGGTGTGCCTCGCTGTACGAGTAGTTTAGATCTCTCGGTGCGCGCCTGGATTTTACTTTGCAAGGATTTGATTTTCTCGCGATAAATCTAACCGCATACAGAATCGCAAATCGAGAGCGTTAACACGTCGAACGAGCGAGAGGGACGGAACGAGAGTAGTGAGGTCATGAGGGTTTTAATAATGAAGCAGACATTAAGTAAGAAGGAAGAACGCAGAGTCGTGAAAAATTCATGATGAATAACGAGCGAAATGGTAACGACCATTTTGATAACAACGTAGACGTAAACGACGATGATCGCAAGGGGAGATTGAAATACGATAACGATGGAGATAGCGAGGATAGTGACAGATAAAGAAGCACAGGTAATCGTTGGAAATGACAAAGGTATAAAGGAACAAGGGATACATCAAAGAAAAATTCATAAATGAAACAACTGATAAAGAAATGAATGCGATGAAATAAGAAAAAAATAGATATAACAAATAAACGAAAATTAAAGCATATTGCAAGAAAATAATTGTAGCATTCTATTTATATGTCTTGCATGATCTCGACACGCGTCTTGACATTGGAGGTCACTTGATTTTCCTATGGCTTTTACAGCTACATGATTGTTCGTCTGAATTACGAAAGTCTAACACAAAAATCCAAAGATCACGTAAGGGATGCGTACGTGTGAACGGTGCATGACACGCTTTACGTGAATGTGCGGCAGTACTTCGCGTTTTGCTACGTGGTCTTTCATTCTAGAACGTAAGGCATATGTGCGTGATTGCTTATTACGTAAATACACGCGCGCACACATGAACAGAGATATATATGTAAAGAGAAAGATACGTATATATTATAATACACATACATGTGTGAGAGTATATATACGAAGATGTAGCGATATACACGCGTGATAAGTGAAACAGTTAAACCATAAAAACCAGAAAAAGAAACACAGAAAACAAGCAAAATCAAGTAATCCCCTTCAGAAATGATAGTACAAAAGTTTTGCAAGATTAAATGATCTTAAGAACTAGGATTCGAGGAGGAGACTATATGTGTGTACCTTGGTGAGAAAAGGAAAAAGGATCAACATAGTTAGAACATGATACCAACCAGTACCCTGTAAGCGGTGTACCACCATGATGAACACGAAACCAAAAACTTCCGAGATTCGATTTCGTACAATTCGCAAATACGTATCATTTATCTTACAAACAAGAAAAAGAATAGAATATAAATATTTATTTTAAATTTATTATATATATTGATTTGCATTGTGTTTATTGTAAAAAGTATAGATGGTTTTAGTAAATGTTAGTAGATGATGTAGTTATTTGACAATAAAAAAATTTACAAAATCCTGAGCAAAATTTAAATTTGTCTGTTCGATAATTCAATTTGTGTGAACTTGAAACGCGACGTAAATAATGTACAATTAAAAAATAGCCGTATTCAATTAACAAATTATGTAAGTTCTCGAAAATAATGTCGATATTTAATGAAGTTTTGACGCATGAGAATATAAAAATAAGATTCGCACGTAAAAAAGAAGGATATAGGATAAAAGGTAGGTATA